GCAGTTGGCAATTGCAGCATTGCTGCTTATGCCTTATGAGTGCTTATCCACCTGGATATGTTCTGTGTCAGACCAGTGGCTTATCTAACCTGGTATCTTGCTTTGCTTTCTTGTGAGAAAATTTGCTGATAAGCCTGTGTTTGCTGTCAGCATGTTTGCAGAGGAAGGACACGGTTGTTTCAGAATGAACTTTGTTGTATGTAACCAATGTCAGAAAGTGTTGCTAGAGATTTTCCTCTTCTGGAGACCTCCTGCCTGACCTCGGTCAGCTCTTTAGATCTCATCTGCAAATGGCACAAGCATAGTCTTAAAACCTAGTCTGTGAGCAATATGTCTGACTGCATATATTAATTTTGTGTCTCCAGTGCTTTATAAAATGAGACCAAGAATTTTTCTATCCTACAGTTTGTAAAGTAGGGACAGAAATACTTGCTTTCTATGCTATGTTCCTTTCCTCATAAATAATCTTGTTTACCTTTCAGTCACGGAGCTCAGTTCTTTCTGATGTATTATGCTTTTCTTTTTAGTGTCTTTTTTAGTTTGCAAATGTCCTATGAAGAAGTTCTTCATGTATTACAATTATTTTTAAATGATTTAGAAATTTGTCTTTTCATGCTGTCCTAGCTGCAGTAAAGACTCTCTCTAAATAATCAGTTAATCATTCTTTCCTGTACTTAAAAGTTCGTGTAAAAGAACCAAGAGGAAATAACATTTGCTGGAAATCTTTTCACAGCAAAATGTTTGCATGTATAAATACATGCTGAGAGGAACATGATGTGTATAAATACAATTAGATTATTTTCCTGCAAGATCCAATTACTGAGGATTCATGTAGTATATAGTAAAATGCTTAAATACTATTTTGGAGAGCTGACTCACTGTGCTTTCGCCTGTAATTTGCTGCTGGGTAGTTTGTCACATATTTAATATATAACTAATTTTTTCAAGATTAGCAACGTGCATCATGCACTATTATCAGATAGCAAAATCTTTCTTTACATTTGGTCTCATGCTCATCTACAAGTGGTGGCCACATATATCAGCTGCCTCTGAACTTTCCCTGGTCATACCTCATTTGGTAGTATGTAGTGTTTTCCTACCATTTGACCTTCTCCTTCCCTACTCCCTAAACATTTTAAAGGCTCTTTCTCAAGTATGTCTTGAGCAATGAAATAATAAAAATTGGAATTCTGGCCTATCTTTAATTTTCTTATCCTTCCGTAATATTACAGTGCTATTAGACTGTGATGGCTTTGAGAATTTCTCTGATGGGGTGTCTGGAAATGCTTAATTTCTGTTTGGTTTTGAGAGGAATTTCCACTCTCATCTGTTCTGTTACAGATTCTGGGTTTAGACAGGACTATTCAAGACACATCTAACCCTTGTGTTCAGCATGACTGTACCCTTAGTTTCCCACTTGCAAACAGGGTTAGGAAGTGTATTTTTTTGAAAGTTATGAAGCTGAAATAATAATACATGAAGCTCAAATGCAGAACTGCACTTCTAATGCTCTACTGATGCTGTTGTGGGGGAAAAAAACAAACCAAAACACCTGTAGATCTCTAGGGCCAAGGAGGAGGTATATACATCAGAATCTATACCCTCCACCCCATGTACTTTGTACTTGCTTAGTTTGTCAGAAAGAAATTTTAAAGTTACATCTAGTAGAACTGAGCTCACCTATGTTGATTTTAGTATCTATTTATAGGACATATAGAAATGGTTAGAAAGTGTTCAGAAGAAAGATGCTGGGGATGTAAGATAGAGGAATGTATGCCTCTTGATCCTCCCATAAGGAATTTTTGTTTGGTTGCTGGATTGGCACAATAACAAGGTCTCAACTTCATCTTCTCAGAATGTATTTTCATTACTGAATCCAGTGAGAATGAAAGGATTTTGGGTTGTTGGTCCATCCTTCAGAAGCTCAAGTTTCAAACAGACATAACAATCTCCAAAAATGCACAAAACCTTAGATTTGTTTCTCTATGTCATAAACATTAAGCAAAATTTTGCCACTTAATGGCAGTGGGATAGTGGTTAATAGGATGAAAATGCCAATGAATGCCAGTTTTCAGTTCCCTTTCTCTGTTTTCATTTCTGGCACTTCTGGGTTTCATCTGAGCCATGGCCACATCAGAGTTTACCATATGACCTCTACTGAAAGGACTGGTATTCTGGGAGTTGTTTCCATCTTTGTCTTTCCCTCCTGCCTTCCTTCACAGTTGCCTCTCAAAAAATTCCCTTTTCTTCTTTGCAGGTATTCAAGGACATCTCTATCATTATTTTTTTCCTTATTTTGGGGAAAAGCAGTAGAAAATGCTGACTGTAGCAGTAAAGACTTTCTTTTTTGACACAGCCTGTTCAGCTTCCTTGCCACTTTTGACCCTGCCCTTAAACTCGGAAACTTGCAACTATAGGCATGAATGGTTTGTTTTATTGCACAGTGAATGATCCTTCCAATAAGTGGGTGGGAATTGAGAACATAGGAAGATACCTTGAGTATCACAAGTCCACAAACTTGGAAGTGTTTTCAGACATTAGGTAGGTAATGGTAAAGCTGCCTTTTGAAATAAGATTTACAAAGAGGCAATTATATCACATGATATAGAAAAAATAAGTCTGTGTATGCTTGCATTTAATACCATTTTACACTTGCAGAGATGGTACAAAGGTGCCTGGTACAAAGGTGCCTGCACACACACAAATGTTAAATAGTTAATGCTGCATTTGCCACAATTTTCTAATGCAGCAGAGGTCTTCTCTCTGGGTACATCTTCCATTCCCTTAAATGGGGTCACCAGTGGAACAGTTCATAATGCTTAATAACACACTTAACCAGTGATGCAGTCTTCAGAATCCTGAAATTGCTTTTTTCTTCTCTAAAAGCATGACCTGCCAGTGCAGCCTTTGTCCTGATGCTCCTGGCAGCTCAGGATGTGAGCGCAGATGTTCTGCAGGCATCAGGAGGAAGCAGCCTCATGCTGTCAAAGGCATTTCATTTGCTGCAGAGCAGTGTCTGCTTTGAAGGAGAATAATTAAGGTGTTTTGTTCATTTTGAAAGGGGTTCTCAAAATTAAGGCTGTGTAATTCAAAGCTTAATAAGGGGCTAGGTAGGTATGCATGAGGTGTGAGCATCTTATTAAATTCACAGCTATGTACCACTTCTGACATTCAGTGTTAAGGTTAGAACCTAACTTTAGGCAGCCACTTTAATGGTGATGGTTAATATGGTTAAAGCTGTTAAAAATACCACAGTGGATCTGAGAAGCTACCTGGGTGTTCTAGGGCACCTTTGCTGAAGTACTTATCCTGAGATAGCTGTTAAGGTAAATGCTGTTCTGTTCACTGCTATGTTATACCTGCAACACGAAGATACTGTTATTTCTGCATCACACAGAGCTCCTATTTGAAGTTGTCATCCTACAAAGATGAGAGAAATGTTTCCATTAAGTTTGTTTAGTTCTTCAAAGCTGGATGGACAAATTATTTGTTTGTTGATAGTTGTTTCTAGTTTTACTGTAAGTAAATCAGAATCTACAGTGTTGGTACAGAAATCTCCAGATTAAGGGTCTGTGTGATGCAAAGGAGTCAGTAATTCCTTGCCAACTTGAAGTCTGTGAATTTAATACTCTGCAGTGTCAGACTGCATCTTGTTAGGTAGTTGCACAGCCACTGCTGTTCCTGTTCCTGAGGGTGTGGACCACTCTCTTTTCCACTTATGCTTCCTATCACAGTGACAGTGACAGCAAGTATGGCAAAGTGCAATAAAGCATGCGAGGAGTATAATTCAGTTGTCTTTTAATGCAACTTGACAGCTGCTGGCAAAGCAGGCTGAAATGGTGTTCTTGGAGACTTCTGCTACAGATCACCATCTGAAAAAAAATCCCAATCCCTGCAGCTCCTTCATACAGAATATATTTAACTCTGGTCTTTTTTTGTGAGGAGTGCCATATTCTTTTACTGAACTAGCTCTTTGTAATGCTTGCTAATTCTCCACAATTTTGCCTGTTTATGAATGAAAATTTCAGAACAGCAACAATATTCAGGCTCATGTTATTTACTATAGCTGTACAGTATAGTATTACCATTTCTATTGGTGCAAAAGGGCATTTTTATATAGCTAATTTAATAATATATAGCAGCACTAATTCTCAAATAAGAGCTGAAGTACATTTGCAATCTGATATTTTAACTTGCTGACCTGAAGAAAAAAAAAAGTTAGCTTGTGATAGAAACACACTCCACCCCATATTTTCATTTTCTGTCTTCAGAGATGAGTTAAAGCCATAAAGAGGTAAACACTTCCTTTCTGGCTGTCATCAGAAGCCACAGAGTCACAGCATGACTGAGGCTGGCAGGCACCTCTGGGGACTGTCTATTCCCAGGGCCCTGCTCAGAGCAGGTCACCCAGGGCTGTATTATCTTCTTTATGGTTTCACTCTGATGTTTTGATTATATAGCAATGTACTAACTGAGTAGGCATATTTAGGCTTGTTGCTCTTCTTGTTGTGTACACTGCTAGATCTACTTGTGAATTTTTCAGCTTTCTGTAACTTTGAAGCATCATTTCATGATAGCATTTGTGTTTATTAGGGGATGTGGCATAATCTGAGACTCGGGCTTAGCTGTTTCTGGACCACTTTGTGTCCTTATGGAAACCACATCTGTTTTCTTTGTTGATCCTCCCCAGCAAATTTCTTTCCCGTTTAGGTTTTGGTGTTTCTGGTGCATGGGTGAGGATGCTTTGAGGGGCTAAGGGATGGGGGGTGGGTGGGGGATTGAGCAGTGAAATACTGATCACCTCTTGGAGATTATCTGCTGCAGTGTGTGGAAAGTAAGATGTTTGCCTTAGAGACTAGTCAAGCCTTGTTTAAGTCTATAAATACTACTGAACATGAATCTCTCATCTTCAATTCTTAGAAAAGGTGCTTTTTGTGAGTGAGCAATTCTATTTCAGCAACTTCTTGACACAGGCAACTAAGGCTTTTGCTGTTTGACAGGGATTGATGGCCCAGCTGCTTTTCAAGATGATGTTCAGAAGATTGGAAGTCAAGTGCAGATTCTCACTGTTGGACAGTCTAGCCATGATGAAGATGATGGAGAGAAAATGGCAAGTGGCCAACAACAGCAGAGCAAACAAGATCTTAGAACAGCAATGCAGAAAAAAGGTAAGTAGCCAAAGCTGCCTTCATGTTCTTATTGCTTGCTTAAGGAACATTGACTCCTTCTTCTTTTCTCACTCTCAGCCCTGGCCTAAGCAGAGATTGTTACTCTGTTTCTTCTTCTCCTTAGAGCCTGTTAGTCTCTGTGCTAATATATTAAAAAAAAAATAAAAATGAAGTTCTCTGTTTTCCTAAGGAACAAGAGCTCTCCAGGCTCTCAGGGACATGGCCTTCCCATCTGCAGGCAGTGCAGCTATTAAAGTACCAGGCAGATGCTAATGCTCATGTCCATCTGTTCACAGTTTTATATTGTACAATTCTGAAATCACTGAAATCACTTGAGGGTTAAAAAAAGAATATGAAATACCAACATTCAAACTAGAATATACATTTCAGTTGTGTTGTCAGTTAAGGATTATTCATTTTTCACAATATAGGCTCATGCTTGCAGAGGTGAAAATTGTCTTAACTGTGTGTGCAGCATTTCCCAGGCATAGTCCTCAGAAGTTAGGGAATAATGTTTTTTCTAGAGGGCTGTATTATTTGGGAGATTGTGTATGTACACATTCATGCATCTGTCCCTTCCTTCCTGTGCTGTTGTTATCTCTCATTAGAGGTTAACTGTAGGAAGGGGGGGGGAAAGATCCTAAATTGCTCACAAAGCTTTTTCTGAAGTCATTTGCTTTGGAGTTGTTCTTCTTCAGTGTACAGCTTTTGAAGCAAAGATGGCTCAAGCCAAGAGTGCTCTGATGCTTTAAGAATAAATTCTTTGTGTATAAAGAGCAAGATGTAAGTGCAAACTTGACTCGTGTAGAATAGACTATTCATACCTAAATGCCTGCCTCTTGTCTGCAGGGCAGTTCTCACCAGGATTCATTTTTTCTGGGACATTACTCTGCAGATGTGAGCAACTTCAACTGAAATGGACAGATTTTCTCTAAGTGTGGTATTTCCTGGGCATTTGAGTCGGAGGGATGTTGGCAGGACTAACAAATTCTGATCTGTGTGGTGATTGTGTTGCCTTAGACCATGGCTCAGAATATTTAATTGTCAGGCGTGCTACTTGCTAAAGCTGATTGACTTAAAAACTATCAACAGACTTCTCAAATTAGGTCAGAACACTCAGATTTTTACTCTGGGGAACATTTCTATTTTTGATGTTTTTTTCCAAGTTAAGATATATTTTGATTCTCCCCAGTTTTTTGTTTATTTATTTTTTTTTTTAATAGAAGCAGTGAGGGTTTTGTTTTGATTTGGTTTTGGTTTGCTTTGGGACTTCATATTCTTAAATATATGATAGTACCCTTTTCTATGCAGGTCTGAGTATAGTCCTGATCAGAACAGACTAAGAGTGGCTCACTAGGATGCTACAAGTCTGGAGAGGGGCTTTTTTATTTTCCAATGGGAATGCTGAGGTTTACTTATTTTTGCTAACAACAGAGCTATGCCCTCTGAGACACAAAGAAAGGTATTAAGACAAGACTGCAACTTAGCAGCATCTCCATAAAATATTGTTACTATATGCATATGGTTTGCCACTTGATAAGGGCAAAAGAGGCTTGTTAGAAAGTTTTGGGCATCCCGGTGTTCATGGGAAAGTTTATGTAGAGCTAAGGTTTTCCATGTGGGTCCCACTGCTGCTCCAGTGCTTGCAGCATGTCCTTCCTGGCATATTCCCATTGGTCTGAAAAACATGTAGAATTGCTGTCTGCCACCAGTCCTTCTCTTGCATGGAATAGGAGCAAAAGGAGAAGATAAATGCTCACTGGCCTAACGAGAAGGGCTGAGTCCCACTGGATTTGCATAGCCCTGATTTGTGCTCATTCTGCTCCTTGACTGTAACTGTGGTGAGAGGCCTCTCTCAGTACGTGTCTGTCCCCTGTCAGTCAAGTTCTGTTACATGACAAGAGGTTATGGGCTACCTGACTGTGAAAAGAATATGCTGCTTACAAGAAAATGCCAAATGTTTTATCTGGTTTCTCCATCTGTTGGAAATTGCCATGCTAAAATAATTTTCTTGTTACAGGAAATATTTATCCTTTTGATTTCAGAAGTCTTAATACGCAGAGTTCCTCTCTGGCAAGTTAGTCACTAGAACAGAGCCAGACTTCTATAGGTTTTAATACTGAATAACTAGCATAGAGTTTTCACATTTATCAGTTTCCTCCATATCTCTGTAAAGACGTGGAATGAGCAATTTGGTCTCAATTCCTCTTTACCACCTGAAGGTATCACTATTTTGAGATTTAGGGAAGGAATAGACTTGATTCTTGGTTCCAAGAACAAAACAGGAGCTCTCTGGAGCATTCTTCCCCACAGGTCATGAGGATAGACTTTTCTGTGGCTGGAACAGAATTTCCACCACCAGAATATTGGTGGTGAAATGGTGAGCACTGATGTAAAATAAGCTGATTACGTCTGTGTGTATGTGAGTGTGGCTTTATTGCACAGCTGCCAGCTGAGGAGATGGGCAGTCTCTGTTACCCATGTAAAGTTGACTGGAAGGTGGTTGTCATTATTAAGGAAAAATGCTTGTGATTAATAATGAGTGAGATCTACAGGCTTTGGGAATATCTATTGACCTGTGAACTCAGGCCTTCCTTGCATAACCAGATTTTACTGATACATTTTTGCTATCATGCTGTGTGGTGTGTGTTCAGACTGAGGGAACCGAAGAAGTGGATGATGAGATGATGAGACCATTGATGGTGCAGATGAATCAAATACAAGCATTGCATATACTTCTATTTTACTTTTCTACAGTCACTCTTACTACTGTGCTGTTCTTTCAATATCCAGCGTGCATCTGGTGTTAAAAGCTATTTTAAAGGGATATGCACTCAAGTTACTGGAAGCAACAATAACATAAAAAGTATTTAAATACTTTTTTTGGTGTCTTTTTCTCATTCTGTTCCAATATTTGAGCTGAAGAAAACCACTACTATCTCTAATTTTTATATTTTTGTACATGAGTTTGGTTCAGTCTCTGCTTGTTGCAGACCAAACTCATATTCCAAAAGACTCAGCTGCATGGAAGTCTCTGTGCACACCCCTGAAAGTCCCAGAACAGTTTGGAGAGCCTGAGAAAGGTTATGAGGGCACACTGGAGACAGGGATTTAGGTAGAGTTTAGGCCATCTGAATATGAATTTGGATACATTTTGCAATATTGTTGAACAAGTATTTGTGTAGAATCTGTCTGTGTCATTTGTGTTGATCAGTTTGGGGTTTTTTGTGTTAGAATTCAAAAGTAGGCCAAAAGCCCAGCATGCAGGGAACACTGTGCGCAGAAGGGTTTGTGACAGAACTGTTCAGCATGGATGATGTTTTCTGAAGCTTCAGTTTTGTGATCCAGGGCTTTTTTCCTTTATTCCAAGTACTAAAAAAAGAAAGCAGGTACAAGGAGGTAGAAGTTGAATTTGATTGTGCAGAAGGGTAAAATGTTCATAGTGGAAAATTCTGGCAGCAGCCTTATGGCCCCATCCAGTAAGCCTTTAGCCCTGTGCAGAGTCCTGTTGGCAAGTTAGGCTTGTTCGCTCAATTAAGGGTTTGTGGAATCAAGCCCATGGATTTTTTCCTTTCCCAGATCCCCATGCAAATACATCCTGGTCCTCTTCCACCTCCCAATCCAGTCTTGTCGCCCTGGATCATGTTCCTGGTAAGTACGGAAGGAAAAAGTTAATTCTGCCCGTGCTGCTTGGCTCTGGGAGTCTTTGCATTTCATTTATCCTTCTGCATTGGACTTACCACTAGAGGGAAATTCTGGACCAAGTGTTTCCTTTAATTTTTATGGTGGTATTTTTTTTTCAGGAAATATATTGCACAGTTAGCTTCTAGTATGTGAAACTTAGAGTTTGAACCTGAGTATGGGGTGGCTTCATCTGCATGATACGCCTTGAAAAACTAGGTCTGGCAAATGTCCCACCATTGATGCTTTCTGCTGCTAAGTCCTATTTGATGTTCAAAGTTGTGTCTCCCTTTGAAATGTCTGAGGTTTTGAATTATTGTAAAGTCAAATTTCTAAGTGCTGCAAGGCAGTTCTTTTGGCTGGGGCTGATGCTGTTTTTTACATGAAATAAATATGCATGAGAACATTTCCTTGATATGAATGTTTCTTCTTGGTCTAAGGTCTGCTCTTCATCAGGTCACAGAGGAACAGATAAAAGTGTGCTGGAGAAAGGCTCATCTTTTAATTGTTAAGGTTTTCAAATGGCTGTGATAAGTTGTCCACTCAACTATTTCAGGTTTAAGATTTTATTTTGTGTTTGAAGTACGTGATTGGTTTCAGAAGATCTGAATTCAGTTCCTTACTGGGTATTGCTCCCGTATGACTGGCTAACTCAATCTTCCCTGGGGAATGGAAACCATTATATTTCCTTTCTCATCTGCTGAAATGTTCTGGCTTCTCAGGGCACTGTCTCACCCATGAATTTGTACACTGCCTTGCACAGGGAGCCCCCCTCTCACACACCTACTCTCACCTGTGAGCCTAAGGGTGCAACAGTGTAACGTGATAGTTTACAGCAAGTATGGACAGCTTTAATGTATTAGTATTTAATATAAATGCACTGCTTTCTCCCCAGGCATTTCAAGCAGCATGAATTTTGATGAGGAAGAGGATGAGGAAGATGAAGACAGCTCCAGTTCTTCACAATTAAACAGTAACACCCGACCTGGTTCTGCCACGAGCAAGAAATCCAATAAAGTAAGGGGCAAGTGCTGACGGAGGGCTATGCAGGCTGCTAGGTACTAGTCTGTGATTTCAGAGTGCAGTCAGGAGAAGCCTGGCTTTCCTGTTTTGTTATTAATAAACACTAGAGTATCTCCAAGGTGATTTACTGTAATACCTCTCAGGGTTCACAGGAACAAGCAATGAAAGTAATGACTTAGAGAAAAGATAGCAAAAATTGTCTGAATTTGAATTAAGAGAAAGGTAAACAGCAAGTAGTTATGTTTCTGCCTCTTGAAAGTGCTCAGAAGGATCTTGTGTTTCTATTGCTTTTTTCTGAGCATTTCCCCACCCTATTCTCATGGATACCCTCTGAACATAAAATAAGGCATTGGCTTGTGCAAATATTTCACTGCATAAGCTCCTGCTTAACCAGCTGATGGTGCCCCACTCTTTTATATACTATACTGCATCCTCATCTCTGTTATATCTCTATCTAGTTTAATCTGTCTGTCCCCATCCCATTTCTTCCTTTCATGGAAGACCATCACTGTTCTTGGGTATGGCCTGTGTGGTGAGATGGGAAGGTGTGAAGAAGGGTTGGCTTTGTACCAATACAGCCTCCTCCCTGCCTGTGCAGCCACCCTGTTCTGCTTTGCCAGGTGTGTCTGTATGCTGAGCACCAGTGGCACAGGGAGCTTCTCCCTGGGCCTTTGGTAGCCAAGAGCTTGACTCACTGGATGGGGAGAGATCTTTAGCTTGACAAGCTGCCTTCAAGGCTGCTAAGGAATCAGAATGAAGCAGACAATTTGTCCCTTGTATTTATTTTTTTTTTTTTTAATGCAGCTTCCATCAAATGTCATTCCTTGGTGCATATAAACTTGCTGAGGAAACCTGAACTTTGCTTACTGTTTTAGGAAGCAGCCTCAGCCCCCAGTCCTTCCACAAATGAGCCTCTCATAGATGTTGATGACCTGGAGGAATTTGCCGTAAGACCTGCTCCACAGGGTGTCACTGTCAAGTGCAGAATCACAAGAGACAAGAAGGGAATGGACCGAGGGATGTACCCTACTTATTACCTCCACTTGGAAAGGGAGCATGGTAAAAAGGTCATAAAATAACTTGAATGGCATACCAGTTGCATCTGAATATAAAAAAGATTATTTAAAAGTCTGGAGAAGTCTTGCAAAGAAAAATATAATCTTGTATTTTAAATATATTTTCACTTTCATGGAGATCTCTCCTACAGTCTTCCAAAAGCAAAACAATAATATCACTGCCTTCCTTCATATTTCAAATCTTTGGCCTTAAATAATCCATGCGTGGCACCTTTATGCAACATTCAGCAGTTGAGGCTCTCTGCATTCTGTTTGCAATTCAACTGGGAGAGCCAGAGCAACTTAGAATGATGCATTTAACAAAATCAAATTTAATTACTTAAACCATTAATAATGGACTGAGTGGTGAGAAGTCACTTTTCCCTTTCCAGATTTTTATTTGATTTTGCTAAGTCCCAAGAGACCTTTTGTTTCTTTGCTAATGATGCTAGAAGACAGAAAAATTGCCTATGGTTTCCTTATATCAAAGAAGAAAGTGGTGTGTCCTAACCCCTTTGGTGTTCTAGAATGTGTTTTTTTGCACTGCTTAGGTGTTTCTGTTAGCTGGGAGGAAACGAAAGAAGAGTAAAACCTCTAATTACCTCATCTCCATAGACCCAACTGACCTGTCTCGGGGTGGAGAGAGTTTTATTGGAAAACTGAGGTAAAGGCTGGTACATCTAAGAATTTTCTTTGTATAATATAAAGTTCATTGGAAATTAAGAAGCATATAAGATGCTGTGGATTCTTAATTGGAGGCTTGACTACATCATGTGATAATGGTCTTAAAGTTCATCAGTATCCAAGGCGTGTTTTCAAAATGTATCAAGTATTTACAAGATCACGTTTTATTAAAAGTCGGTAGGACTGAAGCTCTTAAGTACTCAAAGGCCAGAGTTTCAAGGGTTTATGAGCACAACTTCTCTTAATGTCATTTTCAGAAGTGTGTGAGTAGAGTATGTGTAGCCTCTGTTGATAAAAATACCTTGGAATGGAAGTTCTGTCTGTCTGAAAATCTCTTTTGTTTTGCCCATTTCTTGAGATCCTAATTAGAGTTATTTACAAGTAGTGGAATCCTTTCAGAACCACTTATTTCTTCTCTGTCACCCCTTCATACATCAGGCTGTTGTTACCTATGTGGAGCCTCTCAAATGTATGTTTTGATGGTCTGTGCCTGAGGAAAGGGCTCGTGCTGCCAATTGTCATTTGCCTGCGTGGACCTTGGAACTTAATGTGCTATTTATTGGAGTGCAGACACAGAATTAAGATAAAGTGGGCTTAGTATGTTCTAAGTTGTGTTTTGTGCTTCTTGCTGTGATTTCCATTTAAATAGGAAAGACTGATCATACTTACAACTCTATGAAAATCACTCCCTGTATTCTAATGGAGTTAGTAGTTGGGTAAGAAAGCAGATAGTTTTCTAGAGAGTAAACATATTTTTAAAACCAAGCAAACAAAAAAAACCAAACAGCCCCACCTGTGTGTTTTCATATTACTTTCTTGAATTCTCTAGTTTGCAAGATGTCATGAGAAGTCTCCAGTGTAATAATAAGGAACCTTTACTATACCCTGCTGTACTAGACCTTTGCATATTTCTTATGGCCTTTAATCCAGGAGCTGCCATTTAGTTAGGATTGGAATTAACAACTATGTGTACTTGTTACTGTCTTTGCTTTGGGGCTACAGTGCAGTAAAGGGTAAATATCTCAGGCAGCTTTACTGACAAATGATGACTGGATTTTCCTTTTTTTTTTTTTTTTTTTTTTTTGATAGATCAAATCTTATGGGAACTAAGTTTACAGTTTATGACAATGGAGTAAATCCAATAAAAACAACATCATGCCTGGAGGCGACTGTCCTGCGTCAGGAGCTGGCTGCTATTTGTTATGTAAGTGCTGCTCGTGGGCAAAATACACAAGAAAGGGCAGTTCAGTTTCCAAAACTCTCCAGCACAGAGAATTTCCTTCTCACTTAAGATTATGTATATCAGTATTCATACTGTGATATAATCAAACAGGTCGTCTTCGCTAGAGCAAACCAGGAAATTCAGTGGAAAGCAGAGGTGAAAGATGTGCTTAGAAACAAGTTTCCCAGTTCTTGTTTTTGGTCAGAAGGTGTTGGAGCCTTGACATAACCTGCTGGAAGGGGTAGGGTGCTTCACAGCCTGCAGGTACCATCCAAGGGAGCCTCCTGAACTGGAAAAGTTGTGCATATGGAATTACTGCACTAAAGTAAGGTTTGTAATGGCATTTTGAAGGAGGCTTCTGATCCAAAACACAGGTAGCTGGACAGCTATGTCTGCAGAAATGCCTGAGGGACAGGGTTAAAAACTCTCTAACTCCTTTTTAGTAGGAAAAACCCCATACAAAACCCAAATGGAATTCAAAATTCAACTGAATGAGAGAAACCAGCCTCTTGTAGGGCAGTAAATATTATTTGACAGGAGCAGTGGAGACAATCAAGGCTTGAGACACAGTTGCTGTTGTTTCATGGTTACTGGATGACTGTTTTGGTGAGGATGTTCTTTCTGGCTTGAAATCTCTGGGCCCAAAGAAACTCTTCGTCAAAACTGTTACATACACTGCTAGATCAAGTTTTCTGTTTTCACCAACCAACAACTTCTGAAAAAATACCCAAGAACCACTTTTCCAAAAAGTTCCTGCCCAGCTCTAATCAAAGATGCCTGGAGCTCTGTCAGGTTGATGTCCCAGCAAATACCCTGCACCGAATGTGCTCCTGGATGCTCTTCAGGATGCAGGGAGCAATGGGGCTGGAAGCTTTCAGCACCCAAGTAGGAAAGCAGAAATCCTTCCTTTCCATGCAAAGTGCTGAGAGCATTGAGGGGTGACAGTATTAACTGTTACTTGATTATTTTCCTGCTGCTTAGAATGCAGGTTTTCCATGAGGATAGTGTAAATGGTGCATTTGTTTGCTTCTGCTGTTACTCAGGCACATGGCCTGCAGTTGCAGACAGACAGACAGACAGACACACACACACATCCCTCCATTTCTGTTGGATTTGAAACTTTCTGAGAATTTCAGAAAATTCAGCCAGCGGAATTTAACCAGAAAGTCCAGTACGTGATGTCAGTTTAAATTCCTTGGAGAACTTAAATGTTTCATAAAAAGTAATTTCACTGGTTTATATAGAAAGCCATTCCCTGGATCTGGACAACCAGTCTTCTGGTGAAAACTGCAAATGCAAGGAGAAAGCAAAATATTGTTTTAAAAAAATTTACATATTAAAAAATGTGGGCATTGCTTCTATCAACAACAATGACATTGTGTTGGTAGTGTTGGAGAGAACAGAACCAAGGCCCCTGCTTGAAGAATGTGGCTAAGATAAGCTGCTTTTATATGTCAGTTTTGAGATCAGCAGTTTAAAACTTGTATATTTGTATAAGAAAATTACTCTTTCCATTGATATTTTGATACTCCTGGAGAAAGGCAGCAGGCTTGCAGGTGTGCTATGGCTAGAGGACAGAGGGAAACAGGAATGATATTTCATTACTGGTCAGGTTTGCTAAAGTGAGATGATTGTTCCTGGCCACAGCAGAACCACAGCAAAGTGCCAGAAGGAGAACTCCCCTAACACCCTTGTCCCAAGGCAGCCTTTTAATCCCTGCCTTGAGATTTTTCCTGCAGGAAAAGAAAAAAAGAAAAAAAAGAAGAAAAGATAAACAATGCTTTGAAAGCACCACTATGTCTCTCAGCTCATCCAATCAAGTATCCATCTGGACAGCAAGCTGTACCCACTTCCACCAACTCACTGACCCTGACCTGCAGAATCACCTCAGCAGGTCTAGTTTATACAGGCAGAAGCTGTTGATGCATCTGCTGTTAACTGTGGGATGAACATGCTGAGAACTTTCATTGTGGAACTCACCTAAGGGAATTTTCAAGCAGCAGGAGTACAGTTGGTACAGGAACCCAGTTTCACCAGATGCTGTTGACCATTTTGACTCTCCCTTCTGATGACAGGCGGGTGTATTCATAACCCTGCAGCAGCACCTACTGGCTGCTTTTGGAATCGCTTGGCAAATTTATAGAGAAGCAGGGAGGTGTAACTGTACTGTAAAATTGCAACCCTGAGGAGGGGCTCTGTTCTTTCAGGCCTGCTGAAACAGCTGGGCTAAGGCACAGGGAGCAGCTTCTGGGCAGTACTGTCCAAGCCCTTAGCTGATTTAAAACACTGATGTGCTGGTTGAGTCAGTAGAGCTCTGCCAACTAACAACCCTTCTTTTGAGCTCCTCTGTAAAGCAAGACTGTCAGTGGCATTGAAATGGTGTGAAATCAGAACTTGGCCTAAGTTCCTCTAATAATGCCATTTGTAGTCTTGTATTTACACACATAAAATAGTGAAGGAGAAAAATGAAAGAGAAGCAGGTTAAGAGATGAGAGATAAGGGGAATTCATTTTATTTGGATGCAGCTAGATTGGAAAAGCCTGATCTTAATTAAAGATCCTCTTTTGCCCCTACTGTTTTTCTCATATATTCCATGCTCGTAGAATTTAAATTCTGTACCTTGATTTTAGCAAAAGGGTAGCATTTGCCAATAAAATGTTTGATATTATTGGTGATTGATGTAATGTGTAACTAGAAACCATCCCCTTATCATTTGACAGAAGTGTTTATTTTAGTGTTTCAGAATATATCTAAAGAATATAGTGCCATTTTTCAGCTATAATATTGCTTGTTGGGAGGGAAGTGATTCAGCACTGTTATTTAATTTTACCTTGAACAATGTCTTCAACCAGTCAGAATCTAAATTAACTGTATATGGCATAACTGCAGCTTGTTGAAAAGACGAGCTTGTAGGGCATTTTAGAGAAGACCAAAATCATCAGCAGTTAGTGGAAAATAAGCATAAGCATGAATCTTTTATTTGAAATTGTCCTCTGCTGTGCTTTTATAAAATCTGCTGGCAGTCATTTTAGTTTGAGTCTCACCATGGTGCAGAACCAACTGAAATGATAACATTGGTTTACTCTGCCAAAGGCCATGGCATAAATGATTAATGAAAAAGGTAGAATGTTCCCATTTATGTATATAGTTATAAAGAGATATGAATATACCTGGATTGCTTCAAGAGTATTCAGTAAAATAATGCAGTGGAATTTTTCTTGCATGCATAAAAATCTTTAATGAGTTTGCTGAGGAAACCAAGGCTGTTTCAAAGGTCTGATGGATGACAAAACTTCTGCACAAGTAAATTTTAGGCTAGTATTGTCAAATGTCTCCAGTCAGTTGAGATGTGTGGCTTTTTGCTTGTAAAGGTAGAGATCTTTTTTAAAAGTTTAATGTTCTTTACATTTAGGACACGTTTATTCAATATATAAAAGCAGAGGCTTATGAATGTCCCAGTGGTAGAGCCACACCAGCTGAAGCCTTGGGGGTGCCCAGTAGGCATATTGTGGTTTGTTGCTGGGAATAGTGCCAATGGGAATTTCCTTCTTGAGATTACTTTGTGTGTGCCCACAGCCCTTCACTTGGGAAAGGTAGAGGGGGAAAAAGTGCAGGGAACTGGAAAAAAAAAAAAAGTACCACAAAACACGAGGAGATGGATATTCAGGGATGTCCCTGTTTAGTGATATCTTTAGCATTTACTGGAGCTAATGCTAAAACACACAGTCAGATTTCACTCAGAGAAGCTGGAAAATATTGTCCTTTTTCAAAAGTTGATGAAAAGTTACTGAAATACTTGGCCCTAGTTGCTTCTGTGGAAAAAAAAATAAAAATAAAGAAGCCTCAGATGAAAATAAGACTTCAAGATTATTTAGATTATAGTTAGTGTATTTTGAAAGGGTAGTGCCATACTGGAATGCTTTAGTGAAAAGCTGGTCAGAAAGGTGTGAAATCATGTTTATTGGAAGAACTTATATTTCCCATGCTTTTGTTTTTGCTGCCCATGTTATTTCTTCAATTTCCCTGCCTTCATAGCTCAGAAATTCGCATTCATGGTAACACTCATCTCTAAGCATAACATCTGAAGACTTGGAAAACCACAGCACTGCTAGCAGATGCTCTTACTGGCAGCTTCTTGTTTGCTTTTATGCTGGCTCTGGAATAAATTCAGTTGGTCTCATATATTTAATTTTGCTTCTCATAAAAATGTGTGACACCATTTTATGATTTTTAAATTACAACTACTTTATTTTGGGATCTAGCAGTAGCCAAGCAATCTGGTTAGTTCATATCCTTTTTTTCAACAAAGGAATTTTTTTTTTATAATTGTATGAAGGTTTCTGGCAGCGATTGCTAGGGGTGTTTTTGGAAACATCTCTATTTCCATTTTTCCTGTTGTTGGAGCTTCTAAGACAAAGCTCTAATGTTTGGCAGTGCCAGTGAAGGCAGCATTTCAAGATGTTTTTTGAGTTGACTAACAAATAAGTTCCCTGGGCTGACACTGTGTCTCTCTGTTGAAGAAATTAAGAATACAGAATATGATGAACTCTTCTCTAAACATTTTTTAGGAAACAAATGTCTTGGGGTTTAAGGGACCTCGTAAAATGAGTGTGATCATACCAGGAATGAATATGGACCATGAAAGAGTTTCCATCAGACCACGAAATGTAAGTCATACCATCAGTCAATGATAAAAATTACTTGAATTCTTTTTCTGTTAGAGTTGGGTTTTGGGATTGTTGGGGTTTTTTTGTTCATTTTTGAAGGTTTAGAGGTTAAAAAAAACAGCATTTGAACAACTGCAGAACAACGGGATGTGTGATTAGTTCTGTGACTCACAAAAGCACTACAAACAATAATGTCTTTTGATAACAGAAAGCAGAGCTAACCTTTTCCAAGATATGGAAAGAAGTCAAATGCACATTTGCTTTGAGAAACTCAGAGGTCTCTGTTTCATTCGAATATACTGTTTTGAGGCTTCAGGGTGACAGGTTTGTCTTTGGGCCAGGATTTATGAACAGGTTTTCTGTATTAATTTATTCTTTGTCTCATGAGAGTATTAAACTGAAGTGTGTGTCTGTGATGCGTGCAGGAACACGAGACACTTCTTGCAAGATGGCAGAATAAAAATACAGAGAGTGTCATTGAGCTGCATAACAAAACTCCAGTCTGGAATGATGACACCCAGTCCTATGTTTTAAATTTCCATGGTCGAGTCACACAAGCCTCAGTGAAAAACTTCCAAATTATTCACGATAACGACCGTAAGTAAAGCTCTCTGTCTGCCATGTGTAGAAACAGCACTGCATGCACAGCCTGACAGTGATTCTGCCCTTACTGTTGCTACCTGAGTGAGTTTAATTTAGTTTTGTGGGGCAAAAAAATGCTGCTCTGCCTTGTCGCCACGACACTGATGCAAGTTGGGTGTTTAAACGCTTGTGCTGGAGACAGGTGATTCTGCTCTTTGCCTTCTTAGTTTTCTCCTTTGGCTGCCTGACTTGTGACCTGAGCAACTATTTAGTTTCTGGTCTCAATTCTGTGGTACTTCCAGAGAGGAGGACCATGGGGCAGCATCACTCCACTCTAGCACTTGTATCACACAACCCTTGCTTGTGTTTTTTTTCATTCACTCTGGTCCCTGTACACTGCCCAGCTGGAGATGGTGGCAGGCAGACCAGTCCCACTGCACAACCACTTTGCAGTTATTACTCTTTGTAACATGAGTCCTACAGAACACCCTGAAAATGTTGGCACTGCCTGTCACATCACTATCACTGAGACATTACCAGTGTGTTGCTTTCTGCCAGCAGTGTACAGCCTCCCCTTTTCTCAGGCATAGGTACAGTCGTTGGAGCAGGGATAGCAACAAGTGCTCAAGTGGAATGATACTGCCCCAGTTCTCACTCCCTTTAGGCAGGCAGAGTGTGGGAGAACAGTTCTTAAAGTGCAGGCAGTGTTGAAAACTGTGAAAGTGGGTGTTCCAGCCTCTGAGAGCAACTCTGAGTTTGAAACCAGAGTGTATGCATTTGCTGCGTTTTATAAGGTGAAACAATTGCACCTGATTCTGCAATGAAATATTTAAACTGTGAATGAGGCTGAGATTTCATCTTTCTTACAAAGAGTGTAAGAGGGAAAAAAAGTTGAGGAAGAATTTTTGAATATGACATAACCGAGAGATACAAGTAGTTCTAGATCGCAATCATGCCCTCTTTTCTCCCATTATCCTTGCTTGTTCACTTGCCTGAAGTTAAGTAGGAATAGGATTAGTTGGTTTTGGTACATGTGAAACTCTGCACTAGGACTAGAAAAGCCTTGAGCATTTTATCCAGAGCAGTTTTCCCTCTGCGTTTGAGAAGAGCACTTTTTATCTGTGTCATATTTTGAAGACAGTAACAAGTCTTGCAATCCTTTATCACTCAACTGATCCTCACTCAAGCTATCCTTGCTTCTCCCTCTGGTGTCAGCACACCCACTTGCATGAGTAAGTGTTGCAAAGTTTGATGAGTGAGCGTGTTTTATTTGTTGAGCAGGGCCAGAGGATAATGTGGAATGCATACTGACTTAGTAAGGGCTGCAAAAAAACCCCATAATGCTTTGTCACTTTTTATGACCTCTCTTGCAGCTGACTATATAGTGATGCAGTTTGGCCGGGTGGCTGAGGATGTGTTCACCATGGACTACAACTACCCAATGTGTGCGCTACAAGCCTTTGCTATTGCCCTTTCAAGTTTTGACAGCAAGCTGGCTTGTGAGTAAAGGGGCATGGGTGAGCATCCCCTCAAAGGAAGCAGTTTGCCATATGATTCCCAGTTCCGCTGGTGTCACTTACGGTCCATGCTAAACAGGTCAGGGAAAAATGCAGTTGTGGAGGACCACTCTGTTGCTGAAGAGAAAGTGAATCTTCTAAAAATTCAGGACATTCAGGAAATTATATTTTCCTTTTTTCTCTTTTTTTTTTTTTTTTCCTCTGTCATATTTTTCTGGAAGTGGCATCAAGTTTGTGTAAATAGAAGTTCTATCTCATGTCCTTGGTTATGTTATGGAGATGTGCCATGATGTACTGCACCGTGGCTCTAGGAGCACCATTATAATGGTGTCTTTTTAACTCCAGAGAGGGCGTGAACGCTCAAAATACTCCTTTTTATGTTTAAGAATTATTCCAAGGCTGCAGTCATACCTCAAGGTTGCATTCCTACATCGACTAATCAGAGCTCCACATCATCCAACGTAAAAGAAAGATGCACTTTTTTGAATTTGCAAGGATCTTATGTAGTATAAAGCCAAGTCGGAGGGTTGAAAACCTATACTGGACTGAACTTGATACATTGCTGTTGTGTATGTAGAAGGGCGTGGTGAATTTCAATTGCAGTGGGAGGAAATGGAGAAGTAGAAAGCACAAAATAACGTTGCACAAGTCACTTGAATTCTAAGCTGTCATTACGTTCTAACATCTCTATGCTTTTTAATTTGTTTTGAATGAAAAATGTATTTGGAGTACAGAAAAGGAAAACGTCTAGATGCCAAGAAAGCATAACTTATGTTGAATCTGGCATGTCGTGTGTTGAGAATTTATATCCTTGTATTGCTGTGGCAGTTCAAACACATATTTTGTATGAAGCGTTATAAACAGTTGGATAAAAGCTCTCTGCAGAGAATCTTACTGTTTTGAACAGGCTGTGTAAAGCTGAGGAAGGTAAATGGAAATATTTTATTAAATCTGTCTGGCCTTTTGCAATTTTGCAATTTGTTGATTGCATTTTTTGAACTTTCAGCAACAACTACTTTTCATATTTATTTCCCATTGTAAGAATGCTTGAAAGCGATTGAAACTGTGTATGTTGTTCTCTAATTTAAACGTGCCAGCTACTGAGCTAAATCCTTCTAGGCATATCTAGGGTATGCTGCAAACAAATCAGACACTGACAGGACACAGAATAGCTTAAAATAGGGTGGACTTTTTGTTTCTTTTTTTCCCTGATTTACCTGGAATAGATAAACAAATACCATTTCAAAACACAAGCAAAGAACAAGCCATTCTCTTCTCTTCTGACCATCTCAAAACCCAAGACCTGCAACTGAAAGCACACTGTAAAATGCCTTTAAAAATAATGAGTTTTTCTGCCATTGTTCTGTATAAATGTTTTCCTAAACAGCACATGAAGTAATAGAATTTATATGTAGTTCACCAGAAGGATATGGAAATGTGGGTGAAGATGTAGTTGCATTTTATACTGTGTGTAGTCACATCCTCCTTTTTATTCTTTATAGACTCTTGCATTGCACAACCAAAGATTATGTAATGAGAAAATGAGATCAAATCTGCATGTCTTGTAGCTGTCAGTCCCTTTTTGACTATAGGGGACAGGCTGTAAGGAGAGGTTGTGCCATTTGGACTGTATAATTTCAACTAATAAAAGAAACATGCTCTCTTCTTCTACATTTGCCTCCAGGTCTCCTTCCCAGTATACAGACAAGGAAATTTCAGATAAGAGATGAAAATTTTTGTCAGCATTTTTTCTAATATTTGTTAAAATCAATGAGGAAAAAAAAAAGTCTGCTGGCTTTGAACAGTATTTTCTTGGTGGACTCAGCCTGTCAAATTTAATCTTTAAGTAACAAGAGGCTCTGTTATTTTTTTTTCAGATCTTTTTGCAAGAAACCTTTCCATGCAGTGATATAAAATATAAACACACTTTTTTTGAGAGAAGTGAGCAACCAGTTCCTTGAATGAATGATCAGAATGCTGAGTCCTGAGCTGCAGTATGGTACTTCAGCTTTGCACAGGGATGTTTTTTTTTTCCCCCTGTAGTTGGTGATTTCCCACCACTTCACATCCCCATCTGTGATCTCACTTTGAATGTTACCATAGAGGGCCCTTTTACCCCATGCCAGTCTTGAAAAACTAGCTTAAATGCTAACCAGAATTTTTTGTTTAGAGTACTGCAAAAACAGACAGGAGTTCCCACTGCTGGCATTTAGGTGTGATATGGATTTCAAGAACTCTGCAGCATGGGAAGGTTGAATCTGCATGGCTTTGATTCCATGGCTCACCAGTCTCATGTTTTCTTTAACGCCCGAGAAGGTGACATCTGACATAGCTTTGTGCCTCTCTTTGTTCACAACACTGTGTCAAAGGAACAAGGTGTCCTATGGTGCAAATATGCAGTCTGTTTGTTGCCTTGAGTAGTGACATTGGTTTAGGAAGGGTTATTTTTACTGTGGATCATAACAATGGGCTGACTTGCATCATGGCCCCGCAGGGAATTGGCATGAAAAGGAAGCTCATGTGCAGTGAACTGCACAAGGGTGAGAATTAGGAGCTGGGGAAGGCAGAGAGTTCAGCTTCTTGGGACAGTTCTGCCAGCACATTGTGTAACTTCACTCTCACTGTATGTTCTTCTCAGCTAGTTTTGGTTTGTTGTTGTTATTTTGTTGACCTGTAAGCATGCCAGGAGGAAAGTGGTGACTCAGACTCCCAGCATCTTAATGGAATCATAGAGGGGTATCAGCCAGTGAGCTGCTGAAAAAAAAATTCCCCACCATAAATTGAGGTCACTAGAGGGGGATGTTAACCTGGGACTAAGAGGAATGAGGAGCTCTCATTAAATCTGGTTCATTTACAATAGGATTTGTGCCTTGTGGCCTTTGTCAAAATGCTAATTCCTCTCAGTTATTGAGCAGGGTACTGGGTTCTTTTGGTTTTGACTTAACCATCACCATCTGCTCTGAGTGCAGTTGCTTTTGCAGTGGCACATTTATAATTGTTGTAGCTTCTGCAAGGCCTGCATGTCAGTGTGCAACAGGGCATAGCCTTGTTTACTTAGTGTGACAAAGAATATAATGGCTGTGTATTTCTTTCACATAGCCCTAGTGAGCGTTTGGATATTATTTGAAGTCCCCATATTGATGATTTTTGCATCTGCTGTTGATTTTGGCAGTGAGTTGTAAACAAATTCCTTGCCTGAATTGCTTATAGGCAAATACTGCCTGCTTTAATGAGAGTTCTTAATCTAACTTGGCACTCTGTTTACATCAAACAGTTTCTTCCTGGCCCTTTATCTAATTTTCTTAATCTCTGATGTTCTGTTCCTTCTCATTCTCTTCACAATCCTTTTATCTTCCCGGATGTGCAACTCAGAAGTGTTTATTTTGACAATATTATTTGGTGATCTCTCCACAGATGAATAATGCCTTCAGTCCACATCCAGTGATGCTCCTACAATAGAAGCCTTATCAGAAGGATGAATTTGGCCCTTTGGCTTTTCTGTAGAGTAAATTAGCACATTAAAAGGCAGCAGATAAAAAAGCTTGCCTAAAATATAATAAGAATTTTTTCCAGTAAACATTCTGTAAGCAGAGTTTCTGAACCATTGGTTGCAAGTCAATGAGCAGAAGTGTCCACAAGCCTGGAGGCAGACTGTTAGCCAGACACCCTTTGTAGTGCTGCCTTATTTCTCCTTTTTCAAAAGGTTGAAAGTGATTTTGTGAGTTGAAATGTGTCAGTGCCCTAGAATAGAGTTTATTTTTTAAAAGCTAGACATCTTTACTTTTGTGGGATAATATGTGGCACTTAGAATAGTGATGTTGTAGACATTATTGCAAATTGTGATGCTAAGAAATCTGTGTGAATGGTGTTGTAATAAATGCTGGGCAAATCTCTCATTATTCAAGTTGCCTTACAGTAGTGTGGAGTTCCCAGCTGGCTGTCCTCATGAGCTACTAGAACTGAAGGAGCTTTTTGTGAAAAGGGCTCTGTAATGAAATCTGGTGGCTGAAAACTTAAAAAAATTATTGTGGAGTCAAAAGACACCACTGAGTTTTATCGGTCATGGTGAACCAATGCCATTCAGTGCAAACTTTGTGGGTTTTTCCCCCTTTTGATGAACAAAAAGAGGGACCTTCAACAAGCAGAAACATCAGCAGTCTCTCAAAGTAAATTAGACCTACTTTTCTACCTTGAAAAATCTTACCCCTACCTGGGTGCTGTCCATTAAAAAAGAAGGAAATCGATCCAGTCCTTAGTACAGAAAATCACTCCCAGTTCTGTTATCTTAGCTTTTTACAATTATTGTTATTCATTTATTATTGATTTCACATAAGGATACAAGGACTGGGTGTCACACAGCGAGTTCTTGCCCTGGAGAGATGATGGCTCTAGACCAGTATCAGATTATTTTAGTAGGATAAAACAGGGGGTTGCACAGAGAGTTTGGCAGAGAGTTTCTCCTGATGTGTGGCAGGTGCCAGTGGGGAAGATTTTGGGTTTGATCCTGTGGCATTCTAACTAGTTCCCCCACACTATTCTGTTGCTCTCCTAAGACATCATTTGGCAGATTTTTCCTGGTTCCATAGGAGCATGTTCTCACCAATGTCTCTCACCATGTATCTTTGCTTGGCGAATACAGACAGCACGTATGATAAAACAGCAGTCACCTTTTTGGAATTGTGGGCTGATGAATCTAAGATTTCTCAAAAGGCCTCATTTTGATTACTAGAAGAAAGTAGTTTTTATCTATGAAAGTGGCACCAGAATTAACCTAACTATAGATGCAGACTTCTCTTGTATGCGCTTCTTAATGAAAACATTTCTCTTGCTCTTCATGTATGAAATGTACCTTCCAGGCTTCTCCTCTGTAAGTTTTTGGAATTAATTATGTAGATATTTTTCAGTTATTTCTGTTGCTCACCAAGGAACTATGAAGAGGGGGATTTGCACAACTAGATCGATGTTTTCCTATTTTGCTGTGAACTATAGCTCAGTAGCTGATACTCACAAATGCCTGTATATTGGATGAAAATGCATTAAAACTTATTTTATATGTTGTATTTTATTTAACTGCCTAGAAATTTTAGGTTCCTCTTTTTCAGTGAGGGTATGATTATCCATACCTTCACTGAGAAGGCTTGAATCGACTTGCTGTCTTGAAGCTGTTTCATGGAACCAGTACACGGGTTTGTTAAATTGTTTTAGGAAGGGGACACAGTTCAGAAAAATTATGCTTATGATTTTGAGGGGAAAAAAACCAAAACCCTATTCAATTTATAATTGGATTACTCAATAACATTGAAAGCTTATAATTGTTTTATTTAAGTTTACAATGGCAGTTTGAAAATTACTCTGACAAAAGCTTGCTAGCCCATGAACTGGAATGAAGTCCTACTTGAGAGTCAGAACCCAGTGAATTCTCCTGCATCTGTTCTGTGCTTA